CCCCCTTCAAGTGGTCATGTTGACTTCATGATTTTCGGGAATCCGCTTGAATCGCGCGATGACCCTCCCACCGCCCATTTCAGGATACATATTGGGCTAAGAGGTCATCGAACGTCTTCTGTATTGTAGCTTTAACCTAAAATCGAATAGCATCACAAAATGAAATGGATCCGCTTACCACTCTCTTTTAAAAGAGATCCTCTGAGTGTTGGGCACGACTGTGTTTATTCGACACTCACTTATCATCATACAAACATGGTGTTACGTTTTGCCCAGAGTGCCATCCGGAGTAACTTCGTTTCTATGCCCGAAACTTTTGAGTCGCACTGTGGATCTCTTAAGAAACCACCCAACTTCCTCCTCAATATGCACTTCGGAACAACGTGATGATCCAGATAGCGGCGTAGAATGTGAATACAATGCAGCCCTCATGGAACACCTTTGACTAGCCTTTAATAAAAATAATTGGCGTATTGCGAAGTAGTCTGTCTGTAAAGGCTTCCATAGATCACGGCATAATTGTAGCTTGCGGGAATCTTGTAGCTTTACAGCACAGCTATGCCATATTTAATAGTATGCCAAAGAAAATTTCTGATAGTACGTCTATCGGTTATAAGACAGACATTATGATTCCACTAACCAAACGCAGATTTGTAATGTCGTAGATGACTGATCCCTCTTCATGATGATATTGCAAATCTTTTACGAGCACGTCGAAGCCTGTTGTATCGGCGATTGTTCTGAAAAACGTTCATTTTGAACATACTGAATCCAGCTTGTGAATGGCAAGCCTAGTGGTAGAAATGAGCACGAGTATGTTAACAGAAAGCTTTCTTGTAAAGCCATATATGATTTCAACGTGTATTAAAATTATTTGCGAATGCTATTCGTTGAGCCATTTATAGAGCTACTTGTCCGTGGTCACAACAAAATATGTGGATCTCAAAGGCAACAAACCATTCGTACAAAAGCTATACATTACACGTTGACACTGACTTCTTAACGGTGTCGACCTTTGCAGAGGTGACCGCGACCGGTGATGCTTGCAACTCCAAACAGACTATATCGCTTTCGTCATGAATGTAAACCTGCAGAGCGATCCTTCAATCTTTCCTTTGTTCAAGAATGATTAATAATTCACAAAGGCGAAGACTTTTATAACAACAACGATCCAACCTTCAAGATGCTCTGATCCTTATTATCGTTTGCTTCTCTGTCAATAGACTCCAGTAGAAGATGAAAAACACCACCAACGAAGTCGCTAAAACTCATTGGTATATTCAAGACACTGTGGCTAAAACGCTGATTAAAAGAAATGCTCGATGTAATTTACTGTACGGTCTGTTCGAGAACAACCACTCCACTACTGGGTTTCACTGCAAACAATCCCTGGACGGTTCTCTTCATACCGCGGTACTCGAAAAGAACTTCCTTGATATTGTAGTACACTTCCTTTAGACCTGGAATGGAGGCATTAATGGATCGTTTTGCCAGAAATCAAATTAAACCCAAATTCAGCAATAATGGTTTGGGTAGTTTAAAAGTCGTCGTAGCTTTCGCTTTTTCACTGCATGTTTAGTGAGCCATTGCGGCACATCCACTATAAATGCAGGAAGGCTGAGCAGGACGCCATTTTGCATCTTCACCTGTCCTGCATTTCAGCGACAAACCTAGGAATCGATTTTCCAGTGTTCAGAAGATGTACTAGTCAGTGATTTTATCCTCACAGATGATTCTGTTACCAACAAGGCGACCACATGGGCCATTAGCCCAGAGAGGCCCTATTCCGAGATTCTATCACAGAAAAAAACGAGCATAGTGTGCCACTTGTCATTATGCCACTTCCGCTCTTTCTTGGAAAAACTATCGACAAAAACATCTTTGTAATTGCTCTTTTCTTGAAAACAATAGCTCAGAAAAACAAACGAAAATCAGGATTATGGTCATTGGGAAGGAGTGACTTCCAGTTTTCCAAAGCCTCCAAGTAATAAAATAATATATTGTTAGTACAACAACGTGTTTTCCTATCATCTTCTTTGAGTCAATGCAAAGAGATGGTAGAAGAGATGTTTTGGATCGAGCCTGAGGTAGAAGGAATACAAAAAAGTTTCCTTGGACGTCTCCTATCCCCTTACACTTATTTCTTGGAACTTTCTCTTTGGTACTACATATATCACTACGGATCTCCTTTACCTGCGGTTCTCTATCACCGAAAGATCTATAGCCGGTTAGTGATGGGGCTACGTGACGCTACACCAGGTGGTGGATAGGGAAGTCAATCGCGGACCGAAGTCAACGTCAGCTGCTCCGAGACGCAGGAGGATTCAGGGAAGAGACACCCTGTTTCTGGGGTTCCGAGCTGATTTTGACATTCTGTAACCTCGCAGTTGTATTCATGCATACGTGTGTGTAAAGTCTGCGGGTGTGCTTGGTATGCTGCTCATTTGCTAAGTTGAAGGTTGCACTAGAGTAACTGGAAAGTAACAGGGAGGCTACTCGGCCCCCTCCAAAACCAAAACCCCCCGTCCCATTTGCGGTAAAGTGGCTAGCTACTTGGCAAGTTACTTGTGGGTACCCATGTGTCAAAAACTGTAATATGAATAAGCCTCGTTGATGAACCTAGGGAGCTCCCAACACAGGACAATTTGACAAGCGCCGCTTAACCCTCAGAGGAAAAGAGACCGCCCAAAAGCAGAACTATAATGACGGTTGCAACGCCTCCATAGTACGCGTGCATTATCAGATCGTATCAAAGATCTGATAATGCAAGCTAAGAAGATCAAGTACGACGTCATTGGACTAACAATGACGAGAAGGCATTGCCCGTTGAACGCTGTTTCAAAGAGCAGAGAAGAACTGGAATATGGGACAGCAGAGGTCGGCATCTTCGGTGTCCTTGTCATACGCCATTGACCATGAATATCGACTCGTGTGAAAGCTTGACGACCCGAATCGGATTGCTCGAAGAATCTTTGTTGCCTACGCACCAACATCAGACTACGGAGAAGAGGAGCTGCCTACGCACCAACACCAGACTACGAAGAAGAGGAGCTGGAAGCGCTTTACAGTAGCGCTCAAAAGTCTTCGGCCAAATGCTTCTTCAGTCTTCAGTCTAACTTCTTTCCTACTGGGTCTAATCATGTGAAATTTCGATATGTGTAGCACGGGTGTATCGTGAATAATCACCACTATTAACCTGATAGCTGATCATGTTCCAAATATTCCAAAAGGCTTAAACTCAAATCAACTGGAAGTACAAGCACTGGTCCTTCTATGACTTCTTCGCTTTTCGCCATATCTGAAGCGTTTGAGCGCTAATGCCGATCACCGTAGAAGAGAAAAACGCACATAAAGTGCGAATAAGTGCAGATGTCCCTGCTCTACTTATGTGGATATTGCTGCTTTACGTCAAGTAGTGTTGAATAGTGTGAAATACGCTTAAATTGAACATATCAAAATTTCGTGCGATTTGCTTCATTAAGAAAAAAGTTAACAACGAAGAAGTGTAAGAGCATTTGGCCGAAGACTTTTGAGTGCTACTGTATAAGGATCTAGCTCTACAGAGTACACCGTACTTTCTTCAAGGCCATCATGGTAGTTTCAGCGACGAGCTTGGCCTCAGAAATGAGTTGAAGAACTATCGTATAGACATGTCGTGACCCACGGAACAGGATGAAAAGTGTCGGATGAAAGCCTAGCCTAATTATCATTTGACCCTCACTATCCACACCCATTTGCAGATCCAGGAACCCTCTCATTTGCGATATACATGGAAGTCACATGGTGGACAGATCTATAATGAATCTATTCGAATGTCTATTCGAAATTTTCGCCTGATTGACGTCGATGTTGTTCCTAAGTTCTTCATGGATCAGACCATGGTCCCTCCCGTGCTAGATTCTGCTATTCAGGGCGTGGAGGAAGCTGCAAAGCTCGGGAAATCAAGCCTCAGGACTGTTGCGTCAATTGCGGGTTTGTGGATAGACTCCGTTAGTGACAACATTAACAAAGAACACAACCGGATCGTTGGGCATTTTCATGATAGTGCTAAGAAAGCAGAGTCTATAACTTGCCAAGGAACGCCTCTTTTCAAACACTCTTAACCTGTGTGGAAGCTACAGGCAGTCATCAATCTTGTGAAGCTATACAGCAAAGCGATAGAGGAAGATTCTATAGAGAGAAGAGCAGCAATTATAGAAGAGGCCGCCGAGGCCAGAAAGAGCATTCGCAAAGCCCGACGGAACTTCGCGTATTACAAGATCTTCCGAACTAGAACTTCATCTGACGAAAAAATACTGCGCCCTCAAAGTGGAAAAGGTCATCTACAACTTCTAATCACCAGGTTAGGGTTACAACTTCTCATGGAACTTTGAATAGAGGCCTAGATGTATCGATAGGGCTTGGAAAGTTATTAACAAATTTGGAAATGAAAACTGCAAAATGAGTCTACCAAAAAAGTTGTGAGCGTTCAAAGTTGGCATGCTTAGAGCATGGAGAGAAAGTGCCACTTAATAGGGGCAGTTGCCCACAATAGCCACAAGGGTCCCGTGGCGTAGTGGCATTGCTTTCCCCCTCCAGGTGAGCAATGAGGGTATGCACCCCGTCGTCGTTTTTGCTTTTGCAATGTGTTGCAAAAGTTTGCGTAGGTTCGCATTCTGTGAACAACATATATGCTTCGCTCTTTTCTTGGATTGTGCCATCGATATTCAGTTTTTCACGCACATCTGTTTTAAGTTATTCGGATTCCCCCTTCACCTCAAGAAATTTCAAATAAGTGCGGTGATAGGAGATAGATATGTGATCGCAAGTGATAGCCGAAACGAAAGCGAAAGCGCCAACTTAATCAGTGAAAAAACGGTTCGGGAGCTTTTATTCGGATGGAAGCACATTTTGCAAAAACGACAACGGGAGCAAACCCTGATCGCTCACCTAGGGAGGGAGAGCTCTGCCACTACGCCACGAGACCCTTGTTGCGTCTGTGGCAACTGCGCTTATCAACTGGCACTTTCTCTCCATGCTTTCAGCATACAAACTTTGAACGCTCACAACTTTTTTGGTAGACTCATTTTGCAGTTT